CTGACATGAAAATATTTCTACTTTGGTTTGGGTTAGGGTGCATTTTTACCAATGTGTGGTATTAAGATGCATAGCATAGTTCCAAACAAATCTGCAGATACTAGTTTAAGAGGCAAAACTGTTTTTTAGTGGTGACTTTCTAAGTTAAACTTGGGGAAGGTAATATTAGACTATCCCAAGAAAACAGCTGTGAACCCATTTTATATCTTGCAAAAAACAGGATTCGGGGGAAGGGGATGGATCTGGCTGGCAGTGGACTCCGTTTCACAACAACCCTTGCCTGCATGGGTGGGGCCAGTTTCCATGGAGACTCTAGCAGCAGCTGCACTGTGATAGTGCAGGGCTGGGGTTTCCATAGAGACTGGCCCCAGCAGCTCTGGCAGGGCATACAGCAGGGTGGGGAGCTACTCTGGGGCCAGGCTGGCATCTTGCAGCGGTGACGGGTGTGATCTGGAGCTGAGGCAGAGCCATGATCTGTGGCCAGTGTGCTCCCAGGTAGGGGTATGCAGGCAGTGGATAGTGGCTCTTCCTTGGTTCTGGACCACACTGTCAGTGCTGCAAGATCCAAGCCTGGCCACAGAGTAGCACCCCACCCTGCCAGCACTGCTGAGGCCAGTCTCCATAGAAACCCCTGTGCTATCACAGTGCGGCTGATGGGGTCTCCATGGAAACCACTTTGAGCCATGTGGGCAGGGGCTGCTGGGAAATGGAGTCCAGCTGCTGGCCAGATCCACCACTTTGCCCACCCTTGGCATAGGAAGATATTGTGGCTAAACTTGGCAAGGATTAGAGTCACGATTTAATTGTCTAAAATCATCTTTGGAAGAGTGAAATGTCACAGAATGGAGCTTTAATGCTTGGTTCTTCTCCCGGTCTGATGTGGGAACAGACTATGCCAAGTCTCCTACTTCAGAGTCCTGGGCTGTTCTCCATAACATCTGGTTAAGCTATTTCATGTACCGGACTAAATGGTACTGATCCTGTATGGCAGTCTGTTCCAGTCTTTACACAGGTAAAACTTTGATCCTTTTTATAGACCTGTGTCTTTGAGTGTCCAAAATATGAATTTTAATTGGCTTACTACTTCTATTAACAAGTACTTTCTAAAGCAGGGCCTGGCAACCTACAGTCTGGGCCAGATCCAGCCTGCAGAGGTTCTGTCTGAGCACAGGAGATTTGGCATGGATTGACACCATGCTGTCCATCTCCCCTGTCACAGAACCTGCTATTCTTGAATATCTGCACTTACTCTTGCTGCAGAGGAGATGGATCGGTGGTGATAAGTACAGGCAGCTGGTTGCTCCAAGGGGCAGACACTTGTCACCTGCAGCAAGAGCTAGGTCATAGAGGGTGGCCCACACTAGCAAAAGAGTGCCAACCCCTATTTTAAATCATTACTTTTTACATAGATTCCAGTTTAACAGTAATTTTGCTTAACTTTTTTTCTGCATAGCACTGTTGCCCCATATTTGTCTACTTGGAATCAAGGCATTACCATAGAATTTGAACAGAGATAATCCAATCATGTGTTGCCAGAAGGTAGTTTCTTATTGGTGAGACTCAGAGCACTTGTATGTACAAACTAATTCTCCTACAGCAGACTGCAACAACAAATTTAAGAACGGCTATTTTTAATGCATCAGAAAGACCTAATGCATCATAGACTATGGGATATCAGCTAAAGAAAAAGCGCACTAGTTCAGAGCTCTGCCCGTACAGAGTCACTAAAAGTGGAGGCATCTTACCTCTGTAGGCCAACCAGGGCTAATTCTGCACTAAAGGCATAATTGAGAAGACCAATGCTGGACATAGACTGGCTACTTGGTAGAGGCTACCATGCCATATTAACACTGCTTGGGGGCCGGGGGAAGAGGGCATAACTTTGTCTAAACAGTAACGGCAGTACCTGTAAAACACAAGCATCCGTCATCTTTCTGCCGTTCTGAATTGGGACTACAGAAGCTGAAACTTCTTAGTTTTTTGTTTTGTTTTTGTTTTTTTTAATAATGTACTTCTGGGTATTTCATAATCAGTCTTCTATTTTATTAGAGCACTTGATTACAACAAATGCCTTTTTACTTGTCTAGTTGCTTTTTCTGTCAGTGTGGATGCCAGGATCATACATGGGCAGTCACCAGCTGTTGCATAGCAACCTAGCTGTGCAGTGAAAATGTATGCATGCAGACTCCTATTCTTATAGCTGGTGTAGGTTGGGAGGTAAAGGGGATACTTATAGGCAGGCACAGTGGGGAGCCGTAGCTTTAATATGGCTAATAGGGTTGTGCAAAACTTTAGGAGCTGATTTTATTTGGAGGAGATTTGGCCGCCGAATCTCTGAATCGAATCAGGAGACCTATTAAAAGGTCTAGATCGAATCAGAAGCCCATGAATAGATTCTGAAGGCTTGCAACAAACAAGCTGAGAGGGTTGGGGTGATCTTCCATACATGGAAAAGGTTGCCCTCAGAAAGGGCTACTATCCCTGCTGTTATTCCTCTGAATCTTGCAAAAAAAAATGACAGGGTTTTTTTTTTTTTATAGGTATTTTATTAATTTTTTTTTTGTTTGTTTTTTGTTTTTTGTTTTTAGTCTATGGCCAAATCTCCAAATCGGCCAATTTTGAATTGGGACAATGATTTGAATTACTGTTGCTCTGAATTGGACGAATCCAAAGCAAATACTTGCTGCTTTGCACGGGCCTAATGGCTAATCATAGCGTGCACAAGTTACTAGAATCTCTCTTAATACAGAAAATCTTTAATCGCTTCAGTTCTTTGTAAGGGGAAAACTCTCAACGCTGCCATGAATGCTACTCCAGATTGCAGAAACCGTGTGCTTCTCTTTTGTTTTCAGTTTTGTTCTCTAGCATCTTGAATCCTCCTAAAGAAAAAAGGACCCTTCAGTTATCTTTTGTTTTCTAAAAAACAAAACAAACAATGGTGAGAGTAGATCATTGTAATCCATAAGGAGAACATGTAGACAGAAGTCCTTGGGTCTACTACTTTAGAAAACACCAATGTCTGCTACTTTGGTCAAATTGCACCATTTCACTTTTCCCTCTGCAAATGGGAAACTAGTGCTTGCCTGACTTCAAAACAAACTTTTGAAGTTTTTTAAGTTGTTGGTGTGTTGTTGTTTTTGTTGTTGTTGTGTTTTTTTTTTTTTTTTTTTTTAAATTGGGTATATATAAAAAATATTATGTCTGAGAGGTACATGATGAATGGGAGTATGGCCATTTGAATAGAGGGCTGTCATGTCAGAGCAATATTTGTTTGTCAGTTGCTGTTGTGAGTGGGAGCTCGATCCAACTCCTAAGCTACATTTTAAGGCCTGACTTTGATACCAGAGACCCTTTTTATAAATATGATCAGTGGTCTGCATTAGGGAATGCCTGGGGTGTTTTTTACATCTGATTTCTGGAATGCATGATTTCTTTTTTTTTTTTTTTTTTTAAATCTAGTTGCAGTTCTGTTTTTATTCTCAAAGGGGTGGGGTAGGTAAGGTAAAAGGCCTACACGTATTGAGGCTATCCCTTGTGTCTAGATTGCTGTTGCTTAGCTTTAGTATATCTAATATTTTTTTTACTGTAGAAAACTTTACCAAGGAAAACAGTATAGTCATACTAAAGTAAAATAATTGGACCCACTTTTAATTGAACAAATAAAATATAATTTGTGCTTAGACTACCGTATAGAAGGGAAAACAAGTGTTCAGTGCCTATGAGCTAGAAAATGGTCTTGTAGATTTGATTGGGCTCTAGCTTGCTTATGCCAGAGATAGAAGTGTGCCTTAAGCGCAGCACCAGGTTTTATTACATACCCACCCTCTAAGCAAGTTGCATTTTAATCTTGCAAAATTTGATGGCACTAAAGGAAATTACTGAATGTTGAAAGGACAAATGCACAGGGGTGTATGTGGTAGAGAAGAGTGCATATTTATCACTAGTGGGTCTTACTCTCAAAATTTGAGGATTGGTCAATAATCAAAGAGAACTTTTGCTTTAATTTGAGACTTGAACACTTCTCTTATGTGAGAGATGGTGGTTTTAGGGGTACCATGAGAACTTTTCATTACACTTCTGGTTGGTCTGCATTCTAGTGTTTTATATTGATGTCCTGGAAAAGGTGAGATTTGAGTGCTTTTATCTTTAAACAAAATGGAAGAGTCTGACTTAATTTTTCTACCACCCTTATTTGTTACTTAAAATTAGGGCCAAGTTTATAAGACTTCCAGGGTATAAGTACACAAATCTTTAAGTGCTGAAGAAGGAGCTAGTGACTTCTTGGCCAGTTTGCTGGTCATTACTGATGACTATTTTAAAGAGAAATACCAAGTTGTAGTGTGACTCCTGATCTAAAGGATCAAGTCAAAGCTGTGTACATTTGTGACATCTGTGGGTACATCTACACATGTGCTTAACTGGGCAGTAGACTTATTTTGCTGCAGTATAAAATATTACAGCCTATGCATGCAGTGCTATTAGACTGCAGCAGACTGATTTTTACCATTATAAGCACAGCACTATTTTATGGACAGTACTATCTTATGGCAATCAAAATTTAACTGTGCCTAAATGCACTTGTAAACACTGACCTGGGCATAAATTGCACCCAGTTAGCGAAGGCACCAGGGGGCCAGACCCCTGCCTGCTGCCTAGCTACACAACTCCGCTCTGTTGGGCACTCCGGTACCTCTGACAATAGCCTGGGGCTGACCCTCTCTCCCTTCTCCAAGCCTGTTGCCAGCCCTGCCCTGGCTCAAACTTCTGCAGTCCTAGGTGCACATGTAGATACTGCACCCAGGAGCAGTTGACTCCAATTCAGACTGCACCACAGTTTACTGAATTGCACTAATAGCACATGTGGATGCACCAATAAAACCTGATCTTGAGCAACACTTTCCTTCCTGTATATTTTAACTTTAATATTAAGTTTTAATAAAGTTAAATGGATTAAAGTTATTAAAATAATAAATAGCTGATTTGTCTCCTTCTTTTCCCAGACTGTACACCTTGTATCCTAAAGAGAAAAGGAGCTCACCATGGGACAACATTCAAGATACCTCTCTGAAAAGGATCTTTTCTTCGGGTGATATGCATTTACTCTGACTGTCTTTATATCTAAAGGATTATTTTCCTTTTTCCATTTGGAAATACTTCAAGTAGAAACTTTGTTCCTTTTTGGAAACGGTCTCCTCACATTAAGGATTGAATACATAATGGGCGATATGGCTAACAACTCAGTTGCATATAGTGGTGTAAAAAATGCTGTAAAAGAGGCTAATCATGGAGATTTTGGAATCACACTTGCTGAGCTTCGTGATCTTATGGAACTGCGAGCTACAGATGCATTGCATAAAATCCAAGAATGTTATGGAGATGTTTATGGTATATGTACAAGATTGAAAACTTCCCCAAATGAAGGTAAGCGTGATTATGACCAACATTGGTCCAAAAGATTTGATTTCTTCCACATGGGAAAGAGGTAATTAAGAAGTAACTTCATTTTGTTGTTCATAATGCTCTCGGAGCAGGCTTACTGCCCAGCATACAGTGAATAGTAAGGTTGGTTAACTATATCAATTTCTGTATTAAATGCAACTATTGCAAAACATAGCTTTTGAGAACTTTTAGGAGGAATACTCTAGTCAAGGTTTTTGGTGTTTCCACACTTATGGAATAGTTTTTTGTCAAACACCATGTGGTGAAGGTTCTTATTCAAAGTGCAAACCTATGCTTCTGCTTTTAGAGAAGTAACCAGCATTTCATAACTTGGTTCAATCTTATGCAGTATAAATCACAAACTCTACTTTTTGTTCTGATGCTGTGCTTACTAGTAATGTTCTCTGTATTGCCATCTAGTTGTTTTTTGGCTTACAGGCATGCATTGTGTGTTGTCTACACTTTTGAAAAAGGACCTCTTCATTTGAAGCATACTGAAGAGGTATATTGATTCAAAACATAAGATCAAACTCTTAATTAACAGATGTAGCTTTTTAAAGTCCACTTGCTATTGGCAACTCCTCAAATTGTAGTTTCAAACATTGTATCTGGTACTGACTTTGTAGCTAGTAAATATCTGTGTGTGCTTTTGTGAGATGATTTTAGAGTCGCTTAAAAATGGTGAGTCCAGATCTTTTCCTTTTTTTTTTTTTTTTTTTTCATTGCCACTTAACTGTTTTAAGCAGGTTTTGTAGAACCTTGATGAGGCTTATAAACTCAATGTGAGCTGCCATCACAAGATTAACATGATCTGTCTAGAGTAGGAACACTTTTTGTAGCATAGTTGCATAACTAAAAAAATTAAATTCTTATCACCTGTTGTCTCACCGGTGGGGGGGGAAGGGGAGTTAAATGAATGTTGCAACTCTTAATATTAATGGGCATATTCGTCTTATGTAACTTGATAGTATATTTAAGCAGCAACTGTCAGTCAAGATTTCTTTTTTGCATAAATAATTCAATTTATGCATAGTTTCATTTTAGAGCATCACTAAGTGCATGACTGCAGGTTGGGGGGAGGGGGAGAAGTGGGGCTTTGAATATGAATACTCCTATACAGTTTTTAGCTGCCATGTTCTGTTCAATTAAAATTATAGGTAACTTCATATTAGACATTGCAATCTTTATAATTAACTGAGATTTAATTACTGATATTACTAATAGGAACCAAAGAACAAACTGAAATTACTGGCGAGGTATAGACACTTCACTCTTACTGGTATAAGTGATCGAAAACTGATCTTTAATGGAACAAAAGTTTGGCACACAATAGGTCTATAGTTGTAACAGAGGACAGAAGTTTTGGCGTGCACAGACTAGTTTTAAAAATGGTGGAACCCAGTCTAAGACCCCCAGCAGGTGCATAACTTGGATCAATTCTGTATTGGGCTTTTTGAATGCTTGTACCTAGCCACTGCTAATTGTGTGATGGGAGTCCAATATAGGGAGCAAGCAAGTAAAACAGGAAGTGTATATCTGAGCAAAGAAGCTCTACATAAGGATGAACTGTTTGTGCACAAGTGAAGCTAGTCTGAGGTTAAAATAAGGCTTTCTTACACAATGTGCCATTTAACCTGGTGAGCAGTTCTCCATGGGGATGTTGTATAGTCTATTGGAAGATGTTGAATTGAAATCAGACGCCCATCCTAAAGCTTTTCACCAGAACTGAACTGAATTTCTTCCATGAAACAAACTGTAGTTTTCTGAAAATAGAATCAAACCCTGGCTAAATGCAACTAAAATGTGAAGTTGACCTTTTTTTACTCAAGTAATTGAGCTATAGACGAGACATCAGGCTGGGGCACACTTGCTAGGGAGTTGTATAGCAAGGCACACTACCTGCATGCAAAATAAACTGAAATTTTTTTTTTTAATGTAAAAGGCACACTTCCTTTTGGAAGTGTGGCTACAACTGTCTCATGCCCCTTGCTTTAAGCTTTCCAGTAAGCTTAAAGTAAGCCAGTGTATATTATGGTAGGACACCAGTGCTGTTGGACATCTTGAAATCAGGACAACCCACAACACTTGCAGTGGTGGTAGTAGTAGTAGTTCCTGTAAAGTCAATGGCTGAAGAACTGTAGAAAGCCTGGTAGGGAGGGACCTCTGGAGGTCATCTTAGTCCAGTTTTCTGTTCAGGAAAGGATCATTGTCTCTAAGTATTCCACAGCTGTTTAACTGTCTGTCTTCTAGAAGACCAAATGTGAGCCCACAATCTCTTACATAAACTATTCTACTACTAAACTACCATCAGTTAAGATTTTTTTTTCTAATATCAAATCTGCTTCTCCTTTGCAATTTTTAAGCCTATGTTCACAGGACAAGAAACAGTAATTGATGATACTCTTCATAATGGCCATTTTAAAAGGCCTATCAGGTCCTTCCTTTTTTAGTTGTCTGGAAAAGGAACTAAACCTTTTGTCAGATTTTCTAGGCGTCCAGTAACTGTCCACATCTCATGAAGTGCAGTGCCCAAAACTTCATGGCTTACAGGCATGCGTTGTGCCTGTAAGCCATGTGCCTCCAGTGTACTAACACAGAATAAATTGCTTACCCTGACAGGCATTTGATATGCTTGTTGAGTTTTTCTCAGCATTCTTTTTTTTAATAGTATACTTGCTCCTTGCTTGCTATGCAGTATCTTGGTGTCCTTCTTCAGTACTGTTCCCAGGGCACTCGTTTTTGTATTTGTGCTCTTTTCTTTCTAAGAACAACACTTTATCCTTGAATGAATTTCATCCTGTGTATTCACACTACTGCTAATTTGTAACGGTCACTTTTTGTCTTGGACCCAAAACCTTTTTTCATACCTCCAAGTTTTAAGCATTGTCCCCAGAATAGCCACTGGCTTGATTTTATTTTATTTTTTTAATGCAAATGGTTACATACTCACGTTTTTCAAGTATCTTCATCTGGACAGTATTTTCCTGGCTTCATGAAAGTGGTGTGGGAGGCAATTAAACCATACTAAACTCTTTGGTTTTGTTTTTAAGAGAGGAATAGGCAGTTTCAAACCCACTTTTTAAAGCACTGAAATTCTTCTTTTTCAAAAGTATGAAAGAGTCCTTATTGCACACAGTTTTGACTAATTCAGGTTTTGTTTTTGTTTTTGTTTTTTTTCTCTAGTCTTGGTAAGGTAGCTCACTTAAAGTTCTATTAGTTTTTTTTATCAACTACTGAATTCAAGGCAGAACTTATCAACCCTTGGTAAATCTGGGAATGTAGTTTAATGTGGCACAAGATTTGGCATGTCATAATTCCCAAACAAGTTTCTGCTGCATTGGCTTTCTACATGTACATTTTAAGGGAAGCGGTCTCCTTCCCCTGTTGCTTTTTGCTTGTTTTCTGGTTCTGATACTTATTTCATTGCCAATGGGTTTATTGAAAGATCAGGCATAACTTAACAGTAGTTTGGATTGTGAAGTAATGTAGAGTACAATCGATGTAAAGGAGAGTGTTATTTCCCATTATGCACGCTAAATGGGAAGGTAAAGAGAAGGTAGAATACTGGGGAGGAGGAAGAGGTGTTAAATATTGTGAAACAAGCCTCCAAGGTGAATAAAGAATTTTGACAGACTGTCTGGAGGTACACATTCAGTGTATTTCCATATTGAAGCTTTGCTGTGCTGTGTTGTCCTGCATAATTAGTAGAGCCTTGGTAGCCAATATACAGCTAATTCCTATAATTTCTTAGTCAAGTGGGTGGTTTGTATGAAGTCTTTTCTTTTAATGGAAATCAGGCTAACAAAGGAATTCGGCTTGCTTCAGCAGGTAATTGAACTAGCCATATTCTTACTACTCTTGCATTTACTTTTTTTAATTGTACTATGGAGTGTACCTATCCTTTGTTCTGCTGCAAACAGTTTCTCTACAGTACAGGTATAATCTTCCATTGTAACATTTGTGATGGCACAATTTCAATAATTGACCTCCTAGACAGTGCTCATATGGCCGTGGACTAGAGTACGTCAGAAATACTGATCATGGTAATAAACTTATCTCCAAAAAATAACCACCACAGTTCATACTGAATGGTTCCACAACCTAAAGGGACTCTGGTATAGTTGAGGGGTTTTCCCATTTCTTCTTTCCAAACATGTTAAGCCAGGTGTCATTGACATGTGACTTGGCTTTAGTTTGGCACTAAATGATTGATTTTTAACTTTTTTTTATTATTGGGTGAAGTTAATAACTGAAGGTACCAAGAACAAGTCATGTCTGACCAACCAGACTTCCTTCCATAAGGTGACAGACTGTGGTTGGGGGAAGAGCAATGGATGTTATTTAAAATCCTTGCTCAAGTAAAAGTGTGACATCTTGGGAGAGAACTATGATGGGAGACTAAGGAAATACACTAGATGAAACTACTGTAATATTTTAAAATGTAATATTTGTAAATACAAAACTACTTGGATCCTTATGCTCAACAGGTAGTAATTTAATGGCTCAGTGTCCAGTTCAGAGGAAGTATTAAGTAAGGTCTTTCCTAGATTCAATATTGTTTAACATGGATGTTGGGGTTGTGTGCTTAGCAAACTTGCTGGTGACGCCAAGTTGGATGGACGCTCTCTGCACTTGTCCATGTTGAATCTCATCTGACTGTAGAGTGGAAGCATGGTCTATCCAAGCCGTTCTGGATCCTAGCCCTACCTGCAAAGACCCACACTTGGGATGGTATGATTGTATGCACAGATACAGAATGAGGAATGGCTGGTTAGATCATAGTACTGCAGAGAAGGACCTGTGGGGTTACAGTAGACCATAAGCTGAATAAGAACCAACAGTACATTCTTTTTGCAAAAAAAAAAAAAAGACAACAGCATACTAGGTTGTATCAACAAGGGGGGTCACTCGGGAAGCCAGTCTTCTGTTCCTATTTGGTTTTGGGACCCATGCTTCGGGGAGGATGTGGAAAGTCCATAGGA